CCCAGTGCCCAGGCCAGGTTCCTGGGGCTCAGTGCTGACCGGAGGGGTGGGGTGGGGGTGGGTGGTTTCACCATCTTTCCCTTTGCTTTAAACCCTTCAGAAACACCTTAAGCAAATAGCTGTTCTTTCTGGGCACTTTGCCTTTGCTGTCAGAATGCACTGACTCATCCAAGGGTAAAATGAGCTCTTGCTGCATATGTGGCACCAGCTGTGGGCAGTGCTCAGGGGACACCAGCGACCCACCGTGCACAGGGCGTCACAACTAGCTCATTTGCTGTCAGTCGAGGGTCTGACTCCACTTCACTAGGAGATAAGGGAGAAGTTTGAGTGAGCCAGCGACTGGGCTAACATCCCCTGCTGTGCACACTCGCTGCCAATCCTCAGAGTAAGTGCGCAGCGTGGGGGTGTCTGTTTCCCCTCATATCCCACAGTAGCCAACCCCAAGAGCTCCCAGAGACCTTCAGCATGCAAGGGGCTGGAGTCTGAGTGACTCAGGTTACCATCTGAAATATGTTCCGTCTTCTGCTCAGACTGGAGTTTTTGTTTTCACTTTTTTCCCTGTTTTTTAAAAACTGGAGTTTTTATTTTTTCCATATTTGTTGAAATGAGATTTTTATAATGATCAAGAGAAAAACCCCTGAACTCCCCCCCCCCACACACACACTATTCATAGAGCTGGCCTGAGCAGTCCCTCCACTCCTTAGAGTGTCTTTGGTGACTTGGGTTGACAGTCACCCATCCCAGAGAGTAGCTGTGAGGGTCAAAGAGTTGGGGTGTGCAAAACACTGAAGTGCTCAGTACATGGAAAGCATTCTGTGTTGCCTGCCGTTGCTATTCGTTTTATTGTTGGGCTTGTCTCTAGTTAAGGTGCATGATCATGACAGTAAATAGGGAATTCATGTTTCAGAATGGAAAAAGCCTATAAATGTCCGGGCAGTGTTAATTACATTACCAACATTTTCAACTTTAAGACACTTGCAGATCTCACAGTCTCACCATCAAGTCCATTCCATCTGCCCTTTATATCTCATACTTTAGAAGTAAAGCAGAACTGAGAACCACAAAGGCAGAGTCATTATAGCCTGCACCCATGTTTAGTGTGCTGGCTAATCCAGAATTTATGTTTTTCAGATTATTTTAAAGCTGTTAAGCCAATGCAAAAATTGCTGCTAGGAATTATATTGGGCTGTGAAAAAAAGCCAGGCTGTGTGTGGCCTTTGAAATAGCTAAGCCCTAGAGACACACGAGGGCGCTGCTACCTACCAGCAGTAGGCAATGTGTTCTCCAGCAGTGGCTTCTGTGTGACCAGGACAGTGGGATTATGAGCCCTGGCCGGGGCTCCCGCTTGAGCTGGACTTTGACAAGCACATGGTGTCCGTCTCAGAGGCTGTTCTCTCCCTCCCATCCTGTTGTTGTCCAGGGGGAGCGTGATCGCGAGTCCTACCCGTGCCATTACTGTGTTGTTTGGCTTTTGCAGGGTACCTCAGGGTAGTCTGTACAGGGTCTGGGGTGCTGCTGGTTGTTACTCATTAGCCATGCCAGTGAGTGCCTGCCATGGAGCTGTTGGGGTGAGGTGCACTGAACATGCAGCAGGGGCAGGGAGCCCCCAGCCCCATTTTACATGGTCTATCAGCCCCCCTCGGTGACCACCTTAAGCCCTCTCCAGCGTCACCTGCAGCATCCAGATAGTGCAAAGACTGTCAAACCCAGTGGAATAGTTGTCATTTTAATAAGTTTGGGGCTTCCTTAGAACCGGTCTGCTAGAAATTCCCTCTTTTGGTTACTGGAGGTGAGGAGTGCTGCAGGAAGAAATGACAGCATGTTCAGCAGTAACAGACACCAACGGGCTCTGTTGTTGCTTTGCACTTTGGTGTCTTTTTATCTTACCTAGTTGACATGAAGATTCGGTGAGCTAATGCTCATGGTAACGCTCACCATTAGGTCACTAGATCATTTCAGCTGGCAGGGTGCCTATTACATAGCCCTTCTAGAGGACTCAAGTTAGGCATCTTTGGAGATACAATCTACTTGATTAATATCTTATTTTTCTTCTGGTGAAGACAAGAAATTCTATATGACTCGGGGATTTTGGTTTTGGTCATACACAGCTACTTGTGTCTGCGGGTAGAAGGCGCAGGCTGTGCCCGTGTGTGTCCACATATACGTTGCCTGTGTCACAGTGTCAGCTTTCATGAAGTCCTCGGGGGCAGGGGAGGATGAGGAGGAGCAGCGGAGATGGGGTTAGAGCGGCCCTCACTTCCGGTACCAACTTCAGTCCTGCGGCTTCTGTGACTCAGCTGGTTCCTGCCTGTAGTGGGATTGAGACCCAGCAGAGTTTCCTGGCCTGTACCTTCTGCCTGCAAGGGCTGAGCCTTGGTCCCCTCCCTGCCCTCTGAAGGAAGAAGCAGAAGCCACATCCCTGGGAGGAAGCAGTCAGAGAGGCCTGGCGGGTACATCTGCAGGGCCTATCAGGCCTGTGTGGATGCCTTGACACTCTTCACCACTTAGTCTCTCCCTCCAGGGGTCCCCAGCATGCTCAGGCCCCTAGAACACTCTCTCGTCTTTCCCCTATACAAGTCTTAAAATTGTCTAACCACTTTTTTATTCAAGGAATGCTCACCTCTCTAAACGGCCTGCAAACTCTTTCAGGGAAGCTTATCTTGATGCATCTCTTCATTCCTACATAGTACATGGCCTGAGGCTTAGGGCCTCAGTGGGGTGTTCATATTTATTGAATGATTGAATAAATTAATACATTCACACCCCCTTATCCATGGGGTGCATGCATCAAGTCTCCCTGCCCATGCCTGACTCTACAGAGAGTACCAAATCCTATACATTCTTTGTTTTTCCCCCTCTACAGAAATACCTGTGCTAAAGTTTAATTCATAAATTAGGTGTAATCAGAGATTAATAACTACAACTAATGATAAAAGGAGACTGTTTTGGCAGTACACAATAATACAAGTCACAGGAATGCGGTCTCTCTCAAAATATCTTATTGTGCATAATATTTTTAGACTGAGGTTGACCACAGGTAACTGAAACCAAACCGAGGCTAGCAAAGACTCATCTAGAAGAAAGAGGTCACAGAAGGAGATGTCATAGAGATCACGTCTGCACTCTGCGAAATTCAAATGTGAACAATGTGTGAAAGAATCTTACAGCCTCTTAGTTGCTGTTCACTTATGTCCCTGCCTCACTGTCCCTCACCACAGTTTGTCTACGGCGGTGCTCAGCCACCTCATAGCTGGTCGTCTGGGGCAGGGATCTGAGGCTTAGCAGTTACTGTCAGCCTGCCACTCCTCTGACAGGAAGCAGCCTCCTGTGGCAGCGGCCTGGGCTCCCTCAGTCACGGCTCCCCTCTCCTCTCTTCCAGTGCTCTTGTACGTGAGGAAGGAGACTGACGATGTGTTTGATGCCTTGATGTTGAAATCGCCCACGGTGAAGGGACTCATGGAAGCGGTAAGCACTGCATCCCTTTCCACCTCCACGTGACCTGCTCGTGTTCTCCTGAGTTGAAATCTGGGTACTAAAATACCCCCTTGGAGATGGCTCTGGAATGAGCTGTACAGAGAAAGAAAAAAAGCAGAGATTTATGAAAACACTGATCTCCAGACTCTCAGGGCTTATTAGCATCTTAAGGAGACAAGAAGTTTGAAAAACTGCCAGTTCCCTGTCAGTTTATAGCTAATCAGAGTAAGATGCCACCATGGAAGCTTGAACTGTGAGTTTCCATTTGTCTTTTTGCATGAAATCATATTACATACACTGTTTAATTTCCAAATAGGTGCAGGACAAAAACAATTAGGAAGCATCTTGCTAGTGGTGACAGTATAATCCAAAATAACAATATGACTCTTTTGGCTCACAAAAATATACATAATGGAGAATTAAAACAACTTGGGTACGACTCTGAGGCCATCCCTCAATCTGATCTATCTTTCCCCAACCTCGATTTAGAAAAATTTATTTTATTTGCCCCTATCTTCTCCCTCTGAATATGATTTTAACATGACTATTTTGAACACGTTTTCTAACTTCCACTCCCATTCCTCCTCCCCCTCTCCCTACTCCCCTCCCCAACTATATTGTGATCCAGGGTTATTTTATAGTGATGGAGACAACAGGGCTGCCCAGGACAGTCCAAAATTGTTTATTGATCAGGAAAACTACAGTGGAACAACATCTTGGGGTATGCAGCGAAGTGTTAAAGTGTGTAGGATGGTGTCTCTAAGTGTGATCACATATCATGTGGTCCTTGTGACTGGTTTCTTCCACTTAGCATAATGTTTTTGAAGCTCATCCATGTTGCAGTTTAAATTAATGCTTTATTCCTTTCTATGATTGAATAATATTATACAGTATGAATAGCCACATGTTGTTTCTGACCCATTAGATTGATGGACATTTGGATTTCCCCCATCTTTTTTTTTTTAAAGATTTATTTATTTGTACATGGGGTACAGGCCAGAGGCTCAGGAGCGGTGAGAGGCTTCACCACAGACAGAGTGGGGAGCAGAACAGGCAGATTGATGAAG